GAGGACTTTCGGGTCCTAAGAGGCTTCGGCCCTAATAAGAGGGTTTCGGGTCCTTAAGAGGGTTCGGCTCCTTGAGAGGGGTTTCGGGTCCTTAAGCCTATTTTACTCATTTTTACCCCGTTTTAAGCCGTTTTTGACCCGGTTAAGGGTCGGGATGGACCGAAAGACTAAAAAAAGTTTAAGGAACTCTTGAGAGAGATTTGGGAGAGATTTCACATTCTTGGAGAGATTTCTCATACAAGGAGAGATTTAGGAGAGATTTCACATACTTAGAGGGGTTTCTCATACAAAGAGAGATTTGGGAGAGATTTCACATTCTTGGAGAGATTTCTCATACAAGGAGAGATTTGGGAGAGATTTCACATTCTTGGAGAGATTTCTCATACAAGGAGAAATTTGGGAGAGATTTCACATACTTAGAGGGGTTTCTCATACAAAGAGAGATTTGGGAGAGATTTCACATTCTTGGAGAGATTTCTCATACAAGGAGAGATTTGGGAGAGATTTGACATGCTTGGAGAGATTTGGGAGAGATTCTCAATTAAAGTGAGATAGAGTGAAAACGATTGAGAGAGGTTTCGTGTGTGACAAATGTGAGTGTCCGGCTTCGCAATGCAAGGTCCATAAACCCTGTTAAGCCTTGTTTAAGGATCTTACACACTCCCGATGAGTATGCAACATTGTTTTATCGGTTTGGTTTGTTACTTACCATAATTTTAGGTTAAGGAAGTCTAGATGTACGTACTTTTCGATTTATGATCTCTCATTAGAATAGCGAGTGGTATAGTATTTACCTAACATAAGCCTTAGTACACAAGGGTTAGTTGAGTTGACCGGTTTGACTTGTTGACTTTATTTGACCTTGAATTGACCAGAATTTGACGGTTGTCACAAATGGAGAAAATAAAGGGTATTTCATGGGGCAAAGGGGGGCTAGACAGGGAGATCCAATGTCGCCTTATCTCTTTATGTTAATCATGGAGGTTTTTAACCTTATGATCAAAAGGAGTATACAACAGAATCCAAAACACATGTATCACTGGAGGTGCGGGAAGCAAAACTAACTCATCTTTGTATTGCAGATGTGTTAATTTTTAACCTTGAGAGTATTCTGGCGGTCCAGGTGGTCAAAGACTCTTTGCAGGAGTTCCATGCAGTGTCGGGTTTGATTCCTAATCCTCTGAAAAGTTCATTTTTTTATGGCAATATCAATGATGCTTTAAAATCCCAAATTTTGAATATTAAGGGTTTCGTGGAAGAAAAGCTCCATGTTCGCTATCTCGGTATTTCTTTGATTGGTACTAGAATGCTTGTCAAGGATTGCAACAAAATGGTGGAGCAAGTGAAAGCGCAGGTTCAGAATTGGAAGCATAAAGCTCTGTCATTTGAGTGAAGACTACAACTCATTAATTATGTGCTCCATTCCCTCCAGGTTTATTGGTGCTCGGTTTTGCTCCTCCCCAAAGCAACCATTAAAGATATTGAAAAAGTCCAAGGGTTTCTTATGGAGTGGTGGTGACTTGAAGAAAGGCAGTGCTAAGATTTCTTGGAAAATGGAGTGTAGACCTAAAGAAGAAGGAGGATTGGGAATTCACAATTTGCAAACTTGGAATGAAGCTCTTTTATCTCGACGGATTTGGAGACTTTTTACTGCAAAAGACTCTCTATGGGTTGATTGTGTAAAAATCCACCATCTTAGTAAACAAACTTTATGGGAGGTTAAAAGCAACGATCTAGAAGGTTTCTCTTAGTTTAATAAGCTTTCTTTGCGAGATAAGATCTGGAAACACATATGGAGAATACCCGGTGATGGAACTGGTATTAATTTATGGTATGACAACTAGCATTCAAGTGGCCCCTTGGTCAATATTATACTGGAAGATGAGAAGAGTATACATGGGCTATCTAGTGACCTCACCTTGAACCAGTTTTGCAGTAATCATAGCTCATGGTGGCCTTGGGGATAAGGCTTTCGTTTTCCTCATCTCCAACTTCAGGGTCTCCCTAGTCTTCAAGTCAACAAAGATGATGGGGTTTATTGGCGGGACATGGAAGGAAAGAATGTTGAGTTCTCTCCTACTCAAGTTTAGAAGAATATTAGGATAGCTAGCCTGGTTGTTTCATCGTATAAGGTTGTTTGGTTTAAGCTCAACATACCAATCCATGGTTTTATTTTTTGACTAGCCATACATGACAAATTAATGACTTAGGAACGAATTCTTATATGGCAAAACTCGACGAACCTCCAGTGTTTATTATGCAAGATAGTGCCTAACGCGCCATTTATTTTTTGAGTGCCGGTATTCGCCCTAGATTTGGACTAAAGTGTGTGATATGTTTAACATCGAAATCCTTGATTTTAAGTTGAAACAAATAATCGAGTATCAAAATTCACACCTACATAGTAATCACATCCAAAGAGACATAGAGAGACTTGCTCTGGCAGCCACGGTCTATTTTATCTTGAAAGAGAGGAACTCACGTCATCACAATGGTAACACCATCCCCCACACTAAACTTGCGATTGTAGTTTTCAACACTTTGAAAGCTCAAATATGTGGAGTTCCCCTCAAATGGTCAGTCCCTGTGGAAGAATTGTACAAAAGATGGAAAATCTCAAGGCCTAGCAAAATGGCCTCCAATCAACAATAATGGTCACGTTGCTTAATATTGTTTACGGGTCGTGGTGTATCTTCGGCTATCTGGTTTTATGGCTTGTAGACTTTATGAGTATTAGTATTTTTTTTGTGTAATTTTCTCACTTATGTTATCATTTGGGGTCGAGTAAATGGTCTGACTTTCTGTTAATTGGTTAACCCATTCTAACATGTACTGCATTTTATTTCTTTTAATGCACTTACTTGAGGCGTTGCCCTCTTTTCCCCAAATAAAACAAAATATTTCACTAGAAAACATTGATTGCATGGTCTCACAAAATTATGTTTGTATCAAATGAACTTTTATATATATATATATATATATATATATATATATATATATATATATATATATATATATATATATATATATATATATATATATAGTTAGGTTCATGTGAGACGGCCTAATTTTGTGAGATCGTGAGATGTATTTTTTTATCTTTTTTATTTTTTTATTTATTTTTTTAATTAATTGAAATTCCGAAAATAATATTTAAAATTTTTTTTTGGATTTTTCCATTTATTTTGCATTTTAAAATTATTTTTTAGAACATGTACAGTGTAATATTCTATTAGAATATTTCACGTATTTTTCAAAAAAAAAATAGAAACTTGTTTTATTTTTTTTCTATTTTTTTTAGTTAATTCAAGTTCCGAAAATAATATTTGAAAAAAGAATTTTTGGATTTTTTTCATTTATTTTGCATTTTAAAATTATTTTTAGATTTGGTCTCACGATCTCATAAAATTATAATGGTCTCAAATGAACCGAACATATATATATATATATATATATATATATATATATATATATATATATATATATATATATATATATATATATATATATATATATATATATATATAATGATCGTAGAACTTGCTGCTCAGTACTTGTTCGTCAGACTACCGAATAGCGAATACTCGGATTCGATAATTCATGTATAAATATTTTTACGGAAATTATATATATCAAAATCATAAGTTAAAACCATAAGTTGATTAAAATATATAACAAAATTAAATACATATAAATACACAAAAACTGAAAAACGCACAATCATCTCACTTCGTGAATAATTACTGAAAATTTAATATATATATATATATATATATATATATATATATATATATATATATATATATATATATATAATCACATGTGTGTTAAATAATAAATCATTAAACATATTATACATATTAATCATCAATTAGGCCAAGTTACAATACAATAATCCTCCCTTTAGTTAGGGCCATTCAGGGACTACTCGAATTCTGTAACTCACCCAGTAAGGGAACGAGTACGGATTACTCAGCCGAGTAATCGGTCAACTCGACGAGTCATACAACAACTATATATATATATATATATATATATATATATATATATATATATATATATATATATATATATCACATGTGTGTTAAATAATAAATCATTAAACATATTATACATATTAATCATCAATTAGGCCAAGTTACAATACAATAATCCTCCCTTTAGTTAGGACCATTCAGGGAGTACTCGAATTCTGTAACTCACCCAGTAAGGAAACGAGTACGGATTACTCAGCCGAGTAATCGGTCAACTTGACGATTGGTGCAAGCTCTCTTCTCCTGTGCCATATATATATATATATATATATATATATATATATATATATATATATATATATATAATTTTGAGTCGAAAATTAATCGGCGTGCACCAGCATTGGCACTTGCTTTCATAGATCTCATCATTAGATCCCATGAGAAAAAGTTATAAATATTTTGTAACTTTTTTAAAATTGAAATCCATCCACATGCACATATGACAAAGTATAAACAATTATTACTTTTCAGCACATTAAGTGCAGGGCCAATTGGTGCAAGCTCTCTTCTCCTGTGCCATTTGTGTCCATACTCGATAGTAAATGTGGTCAAACGACCCTACAATTTAATGCGAACTCATAAAAAATGAGGCATCAGTAAATAACCCATTCTTCAGTTAATAAAACCAAAAAACATATCCAAAAACGGCCCCACTCCATTCAGACTTCAGAGGTGGATCTTTACAAATCCCAAGCATTAAAGACAAATCTGATGATTTCAACTCTAGAAATGAAAAAAGAACCATAACTAGTTACCAATCACATTATGTTTCAAATTCAAATAAACCAACCTACAATTACAACACGAAAAACATAAACAACACAAAAACATCCATCCCCCACTAAAACAACTTACTAAACTACACCCAGTAAAAATAAAAAAAAATAAAAAAAGACAACTAACCTTTTACAAGAGAGACAACATTCATATTCATGATTCATCTTCATCTTCACTCCCTCTCCATCACTAGTAAAAAAAGCCTTTGCAGTTCGAAGATCCACACAAACACTTTTTTTTCACAATCCCTTTTTTCTCAACCCGTGGGACCCCATAATTAAACGTTAACTCCTGCAAAGGTCCAATATGCTTAATCGCATATAACCCAACATGTAAATACGACTCCTCTTCATTTTCCCTCATAATCGGTTGCCAATAAACATTAGGCGAACAACTATGGTTCATAAACCGACCCACATTCCCCTTATTTTTCGCACTAACAACCAACGGAAACGGAATCTTAACAGGCTCATCAGTAGGCACAAGCTCCAACGGGTCAAAAACCCGACCCGCATCAAATACATAATTATCATCACTATCAATCCCACTTTCATTAATCACTTCTCCCGCATACTCACAAATAAAAGCTCCAGCCCGTATCGGGTCCCACGACCTAAGTCCCCAACCTTTATTTTTTGTCCTGAAAACCTCTAAACGGAGTTTCAACCCCGTTTGTGACACCCGGTTTCTACAACTTGGAGGACATAAACACGAAGGCCCACATTCATGAACAATTAAGTTATGACTTAATAAAATACCCGTTGATGAATACGGAAGATACCCGTTGTTTTTTTCCACACAAGGGCAAGGAGACGCGGGTTGACATCCGTTTGAGCATCTACAGCTTAAAGATTTTGAAGTTCCGTATGGTTTCGCGTATTTCAAAGAGGGCAGATACGTAAAATACGCGGGGCCCTTTTCGCTATCCACATCGTTAACTAAACAAATGGGTAAATTTTCCGCACCGGAAGTAAGATCGGGCAGGATAACCCCGACTCGGGCAGTCACCCCGTCTCTCCATTGTTGAATTGATTTCCATAACATAAACCCCTCGGGCTGCCCGGAAACCCGAATGAGTTTATACTTGAAAACATTGCAACCGGATTTTCCTTTTTCGATCCAAGATTCGTGGATTTTGTATAACCCATCATAAACATATACTTTTCCAGTTGCACTTGTTCCATCTTTAAGACCTCTAACAACTCTTACTTCATTACCTCTATGTAAGCTTTTTTCTAAAGCAAGATTACCCCTTTCGAGTTTTTGATCCATGAGTAATTTATCGCTTCTTTGAACACCACCTTGACCACTGTAGATTATCACCTCTCCATCGTCTTCTTCATCTTCATATCCTCCTGCTGAAACGATACTTACTGCAATCGGTTCTTCATCACCACTGACTTTAAAACTTAAGTAATCTATCCCTGCCATGATTGGAGCATGTAACCCCACCAAACAGAGCTCCATTCTGAAAAAGAAAACATCACCAATATCGACACCGGGTACGGGTCCGACCCGTCTTTTTGTATTCACCCGGGCACCTTTGTTCATCAAGATTGTACCTGACCGTAAATCTGCCCGTCTTGAAATCCCTGGGATTACCCCTTTTGCATCATCGAGCTGTGTGATTTTTCTCCTTAGTAGATTGTAAACCAAAACCACACGTTGGACTAATTCATGATTACTATCAGCTTGAAGAATTGTATCGATTTCAACAAGGCGAAAAGATTTCAAAATATGATTAACTAATGGGTCGATGTCGACTTCAGAACTAGATACAGCTACTGCTTGTGCTCCTTTCACGGTTTTCCGGATTTTTCGCTTTCTTTTAATGGCATCACCGCTGTCTTCTGTATCGATTGTGAACCCGTTTTCATATCCATCGCTTTGAGTGTATCCTTCATCATATGGGATGACATTCTTGGAGCTTCTTCTTGTTGCTGTTGGTGCTGTTGTTGTCATTGTTGTTGTTGTTGTTGTTGTGCCTTTGGCACCATTGTCAGGAGGTGGTGCTGAGATGGGTGTCCTGAAGGAATTTAGAGGAACTGGAGATGGGATTGCGTAGGATTTACCATTATCAGGTACACTGGATGTTTGTCTCTGATTAGGAGAATCATTTGGAGTTGGAGAAACGAAGGGGAAAAATTGTGCAGCTCCAGGGGGGAATGGACCAGTTGGAGAAACGAATGCAAATGGAGATTGTTGAGTTGAAGATGGACCAGAACCCCCTTGTGATGGGAAAATTGGAACAAGACATCTTAATGGCTTAATGGAGAAAACCTTGTTTTTGTCAATGGGACCAGAAGGAACTGAATCTGAACCTAAACTGTCTTCCATCAATCTCAATCACACAGACGCTCCTTTTTTCAAATTTGGAAATCTCCCAAACAAAACCACAGCTATCAAACCATAGAAAGAGAAGACATTCGAAAAAGACCGAAATTAAACCCTTACACCCACGACGCCACCATTTTTATCCCAAAAAGGTGCAAACTCAGACCACAAATTTCAGTTGCAAACTCTCCTCCTGAAACATGCAAGGAGACATTCAGGTTTAGAGAACGATTAGAATCTAGGTTTTGGTGAGGTAAAGAAATTTAACCTAACGATACATGAAGAAAAAAAAACCCTAGAAAAGGTTAAAACCCTAGACAGGAACTAACAAATTAACATATATAAACGCAAAAGTAAAGATTAGCAACACAATATCTAACATAGCAAGATCTGGAATAAACTGCGAGGAGGTGATCTGTAGTGTTAATACACAAAAGGAAATGGAAAAGAAAACATGGAGACGTTCTTTTTAAACCCAGATTTGAGGTGGAAGACAAGAAGATCTAAGAATCGAGAGATTACCTCCACTATGTTCAGTTGACAGAGAGAGTGTGAGCGAGTGAGTTGGGGGAGAAATGTTTGATGAAGTCTAATCTAAGAAATCAGCCAGCCAGCCAGCGATTTTGCTCCTCTTTGCACTTCAGGGGTGGGGGAGGAGGTGGGCGTACGATATCGAAGTGCCCGTGTAGTGGTAAGAACGGATAATAATTAGATAGATAGGTTTATTCAATATTGTTTATTTATAGAACAAAAATATCAATATACGAGGTTCCTTTATATTTTTTTAGAGAAAATCTTTAAAAAGTTTTAATATTTTGAAAAAAAAAATAATAAAGTTTTAAATTATTTTTTTTAAAACAAAAAGTTTCATTATTTAGTTTTTTTAATAGAAAAAACCAAAAAAAAAAAAAACTAGTTAATTTATTCACTTTAGTTATTTTTGACCGGTTCAGCGGATTATGAGACTAAATTGTTAATATTTTCAAAATAATAGGTATTTTTTATAGATTTCATCAAAATTTATATATAATGTATAAAATATTTTTAAGTGTTAGTGTGTGTGTGTGTGTGTGTATATATATATATATATATAGAGAGAGAGAGAGAGAGTTACGTTCAAATGTTTTTAGCAACTATTGTGTGCATGAATGCACCAATAGGAAATTTGGAAAAAATAAATCATTTAAGGGTATTATAGTAATCTTTGTATAGTTAATTATGTAGATTAACAACAATTCCTTATATCACGCAAGAAGCAAAGATAAATATAGAACATTTGCCCTAAATTGATTTCAATCGGCGCATCTATCTTCCTCCTCAACTACCCGATTACAAAATTTCTTCTTTCATTTCAACATGCAAAGGGAATCTTGACTGGAAACGGAATTCGCGTCACTCACTTTCCTTGGCCTTCGATCGAAAACCCATTCCGACTCAACCCTCTAATCTTCCCCAAAATCAAGCAATCAAGCGAGATGAAAATGGCGAAGATCTGTATCGTTCCCTATTCTAGCAGTTTTGGTACTAATGGAAATGGTCTATTATGGTACGATTTTCGTATTTCTTGATGATTGGTTAGGGTTACAGAGCCCAACAAGTTGGATAAACGCCGTGATATTCACTTCGTTGGCATCGTTCACTCTTTTCTCGTTTTTCGTCTCCGTTCTCACTGATCCTGGTGGTGTCCCATCTGGGTATTTCCCTGATATTGAGGACATTGATGGCTCAGATCAAGAATCAAGAGACGTTGTAAGATTCACATTTTATTCATATCACTTCGAATTTTTCATACATATTTTGATCAGACCCATATTGGTTTTCTCTTTAGAACAACTTATGTTAATTGAATTTGGTGATTATTTGTGTTTAAATTGATCCAACGGGTGATGATCAAGGTTAAAAACTTTGTTCAAGATAACGAGTCATATATGAATACATTGAAATATCCCAATTAGTTTTATTGTTGTAGAATACTTGTTAGAATACTTTCTATCTAATCAAAATCACAAGGAATTCAACCAAATAAATACTTCATATCGATTTCATATTGTTTACACTTAAAATCACTTATATATTTTTCTTGATAAATACGATGCATATTTCAGGAAGCACTTAAAAAAAGATGTGACAAATGTCCTACATACAAGCCTCCAAGAGCACACCATTGTCGAGTTTGCCGAAGGTGTGTCTTAAAAATGGTGGGTATGAAAGATTGAAATCATAATAACATAATCTATGGTTTGACCTAAAAAGTCAAATATTTTTTTTCATCATGTTATCTTCTCATTCTTTAAATTTTGTTTAGGATCATCATTGCACATGGATAAACAATTGAATTAATTTTGTTTGATTTCATATATCAACATAGTAAATGCTTAATATCGTATGCCAATATAGATTGGTGAAAGCTACTCATCTTGTTCTAGAAAATTGTTTAAAAAGGTAAGTAATTTGTTTGTGTATTATTTGGTTCAATTTGTGATTTTGAATTCCAATTTCTACTCTCCCTTTGTTATTGTGTATTTGGAATCTAAAATTATATTAGCAGTAAATACGATTCTTTTTAATGTATTTTAGGTATTCTGTAAGAATATATTCTAGATATTCTGTCAGAATATATTCTGCTAGAATATATAATCTATCATTTTTAATGTATTCTAGGTATTCTATGTATTCTATCAGAATATATAAAGTGATAGTTAATTGCAAGCAACGTGTTTTTAACCATTATTAGTTTTTGTTGTATTTGTGATAGAAATGGCTAGAAGAATGTGTTGAAGACCTAATAAGAATAACTTGAAGAATGAATAAAGTTTGATCATACTCACATTTTAATAATGTTGTTATTTTTTAAAAAATTTATTCATTTTTGTTAATATTCTTTTAAAATATGTATAATTATATTAAAATATATAAGACTTTTAGTTTGTAAGAATATGTATGAATTTGTATTTAAGTTTGGATGTATAAGAATATATTAGAATGTTGTTATTTTTCAACCTCGGATTCAAAGAACTTTGTTATTCTTCAATAATATTCTAATAGAATAAAATTCTGAAAGAGCATCATTCTAAATAAAAAAAATATTCTCACAGAATAAAATCGGTTATGTTTACAAATTATGTTAGAATTAAAATTGAATTAATTAAAAAAATCATATTTTTAAAATTAGGAGAATTAATTATCCATAAATATCCGAAATCTTTTTATAATTGTAGTTAATTGTCCAAAATACTATTTTGCTAAAATTTGTATGATTATATGATACATGTTATCCCATTGTAATATTATACACTCTCAAATCATGTCCACTGATGAATTCCATCCGTTGGTCCAGATTTGTGCATTCTGGCACATAATAGTTAGTAAAAACAAAATAACATAACCATATATATATATATATATATATATATATATATATATATATATATATATATCAAATTGCAAATATTAAACATTTTTTAAAATAAAATTTCAAAATTAATACAAACGAATCAAGACAAAAAAATCCAAAGAATTGGGTTGTAATAATTAATTATATGATTTAATTTTAAATAATAATAGTGATGGGAATATGATAACAATAATTTAATAAAAAGGTTTTCAAAGTTATCAACATATGGACCAAGATGTATACCAAACCTTGTAAAATAGACTAAAACTGAAAAAAGTTTCAATTTTGGACAAAATACGTAAAAATCAAAAAGCATGGGGATAGTATTTTAATTCACTTTAAAAGGAAACATATAAATTATGTGGTACAACCCCTATCATCATCAGATAATTAACTTTACTAAGGGTAAGATGATGGTAATTTATTAATGCTACTCCAACAATATGATTGACAGCATAGATATCTACCAAGCCCCATGGATTAATAAAATCCAAAAATTCCCCTAAATAAACATTGACCATGTTTGACCACAAGTCATGTTGACCATGTAGATCACCATAAGTTAAGCAATCACCATTTATCTTACTTCGTGAATCAAAAAACTTACAAAAGTTAAAGACATAAGCAAGAAGCTATGGAATTATCCTAGATGCTTCACATTGCTTCATTTGAATATCTCCTAAGTTGTAGGTCTGCTTCAAGCCTCTCTTTTTCCCTAGTGGGGCTGAAATTTGTAGCTATGGACCTATTACATCAAGAGGACTGCCCATATTTCTTGGTCACTCTAATTCCTTTTTGTTTTTTTTGTTTTTTTGTCAGAATCATATTTCATTACGTTTATAGTCTCTCACCTGTCACTGAATATTGAACAATAAATAATTGAATCCAAAATATATTAAACTTCTTGAAACTAAATTTAAAGAGTTCCAATTAAATAAGGACAATAGATATGCACAATAATAATTAGGACATCCATATTTATAGGAATAATCACAAAATTGACCAAAATGGTTGTTCTCATTTAGTAACATGATCATATTTTCACCATTTTTAAAAGTTGATTAGTAGTTTTACAATGAGATCAATGTATATTGTGAAATTGTTTTTTATTAAATATTCTGACCACAAAAACTATAAAAAGATGACATGTTGTCATCTTCACATGTGTAATATGTAGATTCAATACCAATTTTTTTTTTTTTTGGTTGAACATGTAAGACATAAAAATGAATTTAGGTATTAACCTAACTTCCATTTTATAGAACCATAATAACTTACAAATAGAAAAAATTTGAATCAACTAAATCACAATGTTATACACATAATTATTTACTTATTATATAAGTCAACAAAACATTAAAAAAAATCTATTTTAATAACCACTTAAGAGGATGTAACAATGATATCCACCTATGTGTTTGTTGCGGATCAGAAACAACAAAAATGGTAAAATAAACGAAAATGTACAAAGTTTACAAAAGAAGGGATTTTAATTTCTACCATCATGGTAGAAAATTTGCTGTTTCTTCCTTCTTTATCCTTGTGAATTCCATCACTTTGACATTTATTGAATCTTCACCCTTTTTTGTCAGCAACTGAATCATTAACC